TTGTTAAAGTAGTCAAATAACATAAAAGCAGTCTAAAACATGATATAGCAATACTAAGTAGCGGATAATGTCAATAAAGTGAGGAAGTACAACCCAACTGGGGTGTCACAAGTCACGAGCATCTAACAATGCGAAATACTCAAACGTAACTACAGAGTTTTAAATACTGAGCTAAGAACATAAAGGAAATAGATAGGGAGGAGCTCCAGGCTGCGAACGCCAACAGCTACCTAAAGACTCCTCGAAGATCCGTCTGAAGCTGGAATGAATCAGCAGTCGGGAGCGGGACCAACTACGCCTGAATCTGCACACATGGTGCAAGGAGTAAAGTTAGTACTCCTACTCAGTGAGTAACAAATGTAAATAACGACTGAAAGTAAGAAAACATGTAAGGCACAAGGCATTCTATAACGAAGCAGTGAAACCATTTAAACGCAGTAAGACAGTGAAAAGTCAAGAAAAACCCTCTTTCAACAAGTAAACAAGTAATTGACAGGTAATTTAAGGTAAAATAAACAAATAGAAGTTCGCCCCTCGGGCACAGTATCAACAAATCTGCCCCTCGGGCAACATCTCAGATCAGTACCAGCCCCTCGGGCTCAATCTCACATCACAATGGGTACCCGCGCTCACTGGGGGTGTGCAGATTCCGGGAGGGCCCCCTTACGGCCCAAGCACAATAACAAGCCATCTCGTGGCATCAAACTAGGCCCTCGGCCTCATATCAATCAAGACACCTTTTGGCGTACATATCTCAGGCCCTCAGCCTCATATTAGTATCAGTGTTTCCTCACAACGTAGGCCCTCGGCCTTACTCAGTCAAAAATCATCACAAGCCTTTCGGGAAATAGTAAAACAGTGTTTCTCAGCCCAAACATCATTTAAAATATCATTTAAGTATTAAAACTGAGTAAACATGGCTGAGTAGTAAAAAAGTGGAAAATAACATGTCTGAGTTCAAGTATAAAGTCAAAACAGTAAGGAAATATCAATAAAAATCCCCAAAGGGTTCAAATAGTTGGCACTAGGCCCAAATATGACATTCAACCCAAATAAAGATGATAGAAAATAGTTTTCAATCAAATACGCGGTAAAATCATTAATCGGGACGGAATAAGTCACAATCCCCCAATAGTTCACGACCCCACGCTCGTCATCAAGCGTGTTCCTCACCTCAATATAGCACTGCGATGTGCAAATCCAGGGTTTCAAACCCTCAGAACATCATTTACAATCATTACTCACCTTAAACCGGCTAAATCTCTAGCTCGTAACAACTTTGCCCCTCGAATCGGCCTCTGCGCGCGTCGAATCTATCCAAAATCAGAACGAGGACGTCAACATATGCTAAGGGAACAAAGCCCAAGCGAATACAATCAACAAAAGGCACAAATCCCGAAATTACCAAAATCCGACCCCTGGTCCCACTTATCGAAAATCAGAAATTTTTACATCAATAGATTCCTCATCTCCCCATGAGTCTATACATATCAAGAATACCAAAATCGGAGTTCAAATGACCCCTCAAATCCTCATTTTAAGGCCTCTTAAACTCAAGCCCTAATCCCCCATTTTCCTTCCTTAATCTCCACTAAAACCATGATTAAACAATGGAAAAATGATCTTAAACCCAAGTAATTAAGCTTAGGGAACTTACCCAACTGATATCCTTTGATTCCTCTTGAAATCCTATGCCTTAGCCTCTTTCCCGTCTTAAAAAATGATGAACTTAGCAAAATTTCGCGAACCTTTTCGTATTTGTGGTCCAATACTCGCATCTACGGTACCGCATTTGCGGTTATTCCTCCGCTTCTACGGAAATCACTTAAGTTCCAGCCATCCGCATCTGCGGTTCCTCGCCCCCATCTGCGACATCGCAGATGTGGTTCTCCTAGCCGCTTCTGCGGTCCCAGTCAACATATCTCTGGCTGCTTTTGCAGACCCTCTCTCGCATCTATGGCACCACACCTGCGGTCCCCAATCCGCAGGTGCGAAAATACCAGAAGCAGCAATTCAGCAGCTGCAACAACAATCCAAACTTCCCGTTAACCATCCGAAATCACCTCGAGGCCCCCCGAAGCAAAAGCACAAACATATCCTAATACCTGATTCAAACTTGTTCCAATCATCAAAACACCTCATACAACATCAAATCCCCCGAAACATATCAGATTCAAGCCAAACTTCCTAAAATCTTCCAAATTCCGTTTTGATCAAAATCCAACCAAACCAAGTCTGAATGACCTGAAATTTTACACACACATCCCAAATGACTCAACGGAACTACTGCAACTCTCGGACCCCTATATCAAAATCTAGACTACCAACCGGAAATCGCCAAAATATCAACTTTGCCAATTCAAGCCTAAATCTACTACGAACCTCAAAAATTCACTCTGATCACGTCCTAAGTCCCAAATCACCTCCCGAAGCTAACCGAACCACCGGAACTCACATCCGAGCCCTCTAACACATAAGTCAACATCCAATTGACTTTTCCAACTTAAACTCACTCCAAAGAGACTAAGTGTCTCAAACCTTACCAAAATCATTCCGGATTCGATCCGACCAACCCGATACTACAAAACACGGAATCAAGGCATAAAGAAGAAGAAATGCGGGAAAATGGAGCTGTAACTCATTAGACGACTGGTCGGGTCGTCACAACTCCTCCCCGGCTAGCCAAGAAAGGAGCATCTTTCCAATCACGAAGATCGACATCTTAGCAACTGAGTTCCGCCTCAACATTACTAGGAACTTCACAAGTCTCCATCACATTAACCTTAGCAAATTGCTTTTGGGTCCCTTTTGCCAACTCGTTCTTAAGATCAACTTCTGGAACCGAGCCTGATAGCGCTGACAACTTTGTAGCAAGTAACCTTCCAAGGAACTCAGAAGCGTTTTCATATTCCTGTTCAACACAAATCATACCCACTATATGCGTATCATTATGAATAGGCAATGGACTTTGGCTAGTATACGTTGCATCTGGATTTTGTGCATTAATGTCACCTGCATCAATAAACTTCTCGACTGCTCTTTTCAGATTCCAACACTTTTCTATGATGTGAACCGGGGCATTAGAGCAAAATGCGCACCTTTGAGAATAATCAAAATTCTTTGGAAGGGGGTTTGGAATTTTTATCTGAAGTGGCTTCAACAAGTCCAATTGCCTCAGCCTTTGGAACAGACTGGCATATGATTCTCCAATAGGAGTGAAAGACTTTTCTCTTTGCTATTGCCGTCTCATTTTGAACGCCGGCCTTGGTTGGAACCTTTTTCAAATAGGTGGTTGACATGCTTGAGGAGGCAGGTAAGACATTTGTGGAGGTGGTGCATGCCATTGCGGGTCTCGTGGGTATGGAACATTCGACGATGCATTGTCGATAGAGTACTAGGAAGGTGAGGTATGACTTTGGGGATTTTGTGGAGGAAAGTAGCACTGGGAAGGATTATCTGGAGAACGAGGATATTTATAGGGTCGGTATTGAGGCTGAAAGCATTAGCAGGAATACCCACTGGATCATGTCGTTGGCAGGACTCAGTAACATCTTTTTTATCAAACGGAGGACTGACCCAAGCAACTTGTTCATTCCATCTGAGCCAAAACTCCCTAAAACTTTCCTCGGGTTTCTTTTCCATCTGAGATAGGGAGGAGCAGTCTGAGATAATGTCTACATTGTACTGATAGTGCCGAACAAAATCTTGAGCCATGTCACCCCATGCATCCCATTTACTGACATATTGACGAGTACCACTCCAAAGCTTCCCCACTCAAACTCTCACTGAAATATGCCATCAACAATTCATCTTTCCCACAAACACTTCTCATTTTACTGCAATAACCCCTCAGATGGGCTACTGGATCTCCACGCCCATCATACAAATCAAACTTTGGCATCTTAAATCCAGCTGGCAGTTGGATGTGAGGAAATAAGCACAAGTCTTTGTAAGACATGCTCATCTGGCTCCCTATCCCTTGCATATTTCTTAAAGACTGCTCTAAGATTTTCATCTGCCTAGATATATCATCTTGCTCCACTGTCTTAGCGGGATTTCCAGTTTCATCGGGAGGCTCAAAATGAGGAGCTTGAGAGTGTGGATCCGAGACCTTGAAAGTTTGTTTTGGAGCATAGTGTTGGGCATCGGGGACTTTGAACACAGTATCGCTAGAGGATCGAGGAAAAGCAGCTGGTGGAGGAGCTACAAAAATGTGAGTGGTCAAAGGAGTGGGATATGAGGTGGTTTTGGCGGGTGGAGTCTGAAAAAGTTGTAGGGAGATATCAGCAGCAGTAGGAAGCTGGATTTGTGATAGTGGCGGAATGGTGACGAGGCTTTCAGTGTAGTTAGTGGGAAATAATGGTGGAGGACGCCCACTAATTCAGGCTTGGTATATTTCGGCCATCTGTCGTTTCAACCTTAGGACCTCTTTTTTTAACTCAGTTTCTGATTCAACAATCTCCTTAGGCGGATCAACAACACCTGTGTCCAAGTCTTTGCTAGCCATGACTACCTTACTCTTTGACCTTGTGTTGTATGGAAGAGTTACCAGTTTAAGAACCACAAACCAACCATTCTTCTGTTATAATAAAGATAACAAAGAGGAACAAAATAAAGTCATCATGTTAGCGTTATGGCATTTAACAGCTAAAAATATCACATTGTGTGCAATGCACCTAGCAACACGGTTCAAGAATGACTTCGAGGGTCACAAGGTCACTTGGCATCATCCCAATTTGTTCATTTCAATCTTCTCTTTTCTTTTCTTTTCTAGCACTTCTTGGCTTGCTCATTTTCCTTCCTTGTTTTTTTTTCTAATTATCACTCTTTTCTATCCTCTCATTTCTCACATCCCATAATTTCATCTTTTTTTTTTCGTTTCCTTTTTTTCTTTTCCTTTTAATTTAAAAAATGATTTGATCGAACCCTATGTAGGTTGCCTACGTATCATGTTCCACATGAATCAGACCAAGCGTAGTTCTGGAAAAGTAATGGATAAATTAAACTAAAAAATAAATATCTTTTTAGATTATTCATTTACAACCTCTTTTTGAATATAGAATCAGAAATACGATAACAAAAGACTCGACAAACTCAGCTAGACTATGACAGATTCTGACACCACCTAAAAGACTCAGTACTATTAGAAAGGACTAGAAAGTAAAAGACAACATAAAAGGAAGGCAGACTCAAAGCATAAAAAAAATCTCCTTAAGCAGCTCATGAATGCAGCGGTCCTGATTGGATGGTCCCGGGATGTCTGTCATGCTCAAACTCCGATAAGTAGATCCGCACCTGTATGAGAAAACTAAAACCAAATATAGTTAAAGATTTAGAACACTATATGAGACAATAACACTCCCTACTGGACACATGTCAGGCATGATTGAGGCTATTTTTGCAAAATAGCCAATGTGGCCAAAAGTTGCTATTAGTGCAAACTCAAAAAAGGTGACCTCAAAGATATGGAAAAATCATTTTGCCGAAATGACCCATTTTGTAGGAGTGGCCTATGTGGCCAGAAAACGGCTAAGCATTGCAAATTCAAAAGAAGGGACCCTAAATAGAGATGACATCTTGTTGTGGACTTAGGACTCTAATACATGGGTTAATTGAACCACTTTTGCGAAAATAGCCCGATTTTACAAAACGGCCTATGTGGCCAAAAGCGGCTAGACATGTAAATTCAAAAAGGACGGACCTTAAAGTAAAGATACACCTAATTGTGAATTTAAAACTCTCCAGATACAATTAAACAAACCACTTTGCGAAAATAGCCCTATTTTTCAAAACGGTCGATGTGACCAAAAGTGGCTAGAGGTGCAAGATTTGGCTACGGCCCTCGAAGCCAAGAACCTAAGACTCACTAAGAAGATCGGACCCTATATGGGGTGCCTACGTATCCCGCCCCAAAAGACGAGAATCAGGTATGCGTAGTTCGGGAAGATTGGATAAGGGCGAGAATTAAAAAAACAACTAATTTGGAGAAAACATTTTTTTGTCTTTTTTTTTTTGAAAAATGATGGGAAAGTGCAAAATCTTTTTGGATTTTTCATTTTTATTTTTTTATCTTTTTCTTGGAAAAAAAATGTGAAAGAAAAATATAAATGGCTCTACTTGCTTCATTTTTATACTTCACCCTCTTTTCTTTCTCATTTACCCTCAGCCATCATTGGCCCGCCAAATGACCCCTTTTACCCCTGAAAATTGCAACATGTATCACATAAGATGCATCAGGATAGCCTTTTATTTTGGAGTACACTTGTCCTAGACGGACCCAACCCCTGTGTTAAGTCTCCAAAGTCAAATGCACATGATGCAAACAAACGTGCCTACTGGAGATCCGACATGAGATTATGTCATTCTAGGTGAAACCTGGGGTTGTATCCTAGACCCGGCTTACCCAAGCGGACAACTCTAGCTGAGGGGGCAACGTACCGGTAACCAAAAGGCCATCCGGCTTTGTAACTGATCTGATCCTCGTTCTAAATTAGGGTATGACACTAACAGAAAAGAAGTCACACCAGCGTGCACTTCCCCGAAGATTTAGAAGACTCAGAGAGAAGAAGGATTTCGTAACAGGTTTATATACAGTTCATACAATATCAAAGCGATAAAAAGCGGCATTTAGCACATTTGGCTTAAACACGTAAAATCAGATAATAAATAAAAGCCAAGTATAACAGTAATTCTAAGCTCAAATTATGAACCCTGAACCAGAAGTTTTGGGTTCTTATCCCCAGTAGAGTCACCAAAGTTATCACACCTCCTTTTTCCCGAAGGATAGATAGGGAGTTTTTCCAATTAAAGTGACAATAACCGAAGCGGGAATCTTATCCCCAGCAGAGTCACCAGAGCTGTCACACCTCCTTTTTCCCGAAGGATAGATAGGGAGTTTTTCCAATTAAAGTAACAATAACTAAAGAGGTATTATTTATATTCAAATTCAGAGTCTCCACTTGGGATAATTTATGGTGTCCCAAGTCACCGGTTGAAAATATCGAATCAAGGAAGTTTGACTCTGTTTTATAGTTTGCAAAACACAAAAATCTGGGTAAGGAATTTTGTTAACCCGGGAAAAGGTGTGAGGCATTCCCGAGTTCTGTGGTTTTAGCACGGTCTCTCAACTATTAATAATTGGCCTAATTATCTGATTTATTACATGTTTAATACCTATTGTGAGTTTTTAACCTTTTAAAACTACTTTTAATTATTTATGAATTTTTGTTTGAACAAATCGTGATGTCGCGCACTCGTTTTTTTTGTACACATTGCGAATAGCGTCACGGGAATCGTACTCACGATCTACAACATATTTAATTATATTATTATTCGAAATTATGGTCGGGTCACATAAAATGCATACCCGAATTGAGATTTACGTATCGTGACCATGCCACGAGAACCGTACCCAAGACCACGATAATTTATTATTCTACTTTAGTAATTTGATCATTAATTAAAAGAGATAAAATGATGTAAAATCCATTCAATATTCAAACACTCTTTTACTTTACCAACACAAAAGAAACATTTTCCCCTTTCTAATTAAAATAAGTCAAAAATTTTATTATGCACGTTTGAACCCAAATAATAATAACTGGATAGTCAGCCACATATTTTGACTTAATAAAGCTTAGAATGAAAAGGAGATTGAAGCAGGCAAAATACACTTGAAGCATTAACGTAGACATGTTCAATAGACATAACAGACATTCAAACAACATGTAATGTGGATCATTAAAATAAAAATCACTCAAACAGCATATAAGAACAACATCAAATAGAACTAAGGGAAGAAGAAATCGACCTCTATTTTCTCAAAACATTCGGATACGCGACATGGCAGGAAAACAGAACCTCGAACAGAAACCAACGGCAACGGAGACATCGACTTGGACCAACAGAAATAGACACCGATAAGAGCCTTAGACCGGAAAACTTTAGCGGCACCAAAAACTCGAACAAGGACTTCACTAACTTTAATATATGAATATCGTCAGGCGGCTATGCGAAATCATAGCCCATCTCTGTCCCGGGAGATTTTCACAAATGCTGAGACTCGATTTCACTGGAGAAGAGTACGCATAGGAGTTTGCTACCTAAGAGAGGAGGAATCTACTGATGGAGACAGTGATGGCGGTTGGTTGGTTTTGAGTGGAGGGAGTTTGAGCGAGAGTGGCGGATATTCGGCGGGTTTGAGAGGTGGCTGGTGGAGATGGGGTGGGACTGGTTCGTCGCGACTGTGTGCTGTATGTGTTGAGGATCAAGAAGGAAAGGATTTTTGCTCTTAGGGTCTCTAGGGTTCCAGGTGTGTGTGTGTGTGTGTGTCTTCTAGGTTTCTTGAGGTGTGTCCAAGAAGAAAAAGCTGAAGGGTCTGATTTCAGAAGATGAAAGGGAACGACTGAGGGGTCTCTAGGGTTAGGGATCTCGTTTTTTATTTTCCTTATGTGATATAAAGGGGTTTTGGGTATAGGATTAGCTGGGCTTGGGGTTAATGGGCTAAGGGATCCAAAAATAGTCCCAAAAATGGGTTGTTTTAGCCCAAATTTGACTCTTCTCCTTGAACAAGACTAAAAATACTACACCATTTACTAATTAATCCTACTTAAATAAAATAAATATTAAATTAAAACTAACCGTTAAAACAAAACTATTTTTGGTATTTTTTTTAAATATCATACTAAAAGATAAAAATAGAATTAGATTAAAATCATTGCAAAATTAAAATAATATTCCTACCAAACTACTAACATTCCTAAAAACAAAGTGTAACTATTTTTGTATTTTATGAAAGGTAGATAAACTGAAAGTAACAAGATAAAATATCAATTACCTAAATAAAAGAAAATATTTTTTGTAATTTTTATTTTTGTGACAAAATAAAGTAAAAGAGTCAAAACTAGTTGAAATAGTGATATTAGGCCTAAGTTAAATATTTAAATGCTAAAATATGTAAAATCTTAGAGAGGGTTAAAATTACGTCTACAGGCTTCGCTTAAATGCTTCAGTTGATGTGGTAAGGGTTCTCTTGAATCAAGGATTTGCATTTCGCGGTCATGACGAAAGTGAAACGTCATAGAACAAGGGTAATTTTATTGAAATTCTTTCATGGTGTGCGGATAAATGTGATAAGATTAAACCCTTTGTGTTGAAACGTGCTCCAAAAAAACAATAAGATGACTTCTTCAGATATTCAAAAAGAAATTGTGACCGCATGTAAGATAGAAACTATTAAGGCTACAATAGAGGACCTAAATGGTGACTACTTTGCTTTATTAGTTGATGAGTCTTTAGACGTGTCACGCAAAGAGCAAATGGCTATTGTTTTACGGTATGTCGAAAAAAAAGGAAGTGTGATGGAGAGGTTTATTGGCATTATTCATGTTCGAGATACTAGTACTTTATCTCTAAAGAAAGTAATTATCGATGTACTTATTCATCATTCTTTAAGTTTATCTTCTATACGTGGACAATGTTATGATGTGGTAAGCAATATGCAAGATGATATTAAAGGTCTTAAGAAGTTGATTAAACAAGAAAGTAGATTGGCTCATTCTATTCATTGTTTTGCACATCAACTTCAACTGACTCTTGTTGCGGTTTCTAAGAAGTGTGTTCAAGTAGGTGAACTTGTATTATTGGTTTCAAATATTTTGAATGTGTTGGGAGATTCTTTTAAACGTGTGGATGAATTTCGAGATTCTCAAAATGAAAAACTCTAAGAGGCATAAGATATGGGTGAACTAAAAATAGGTAGAGGCTTGAATCAAAAACTTGGTCTCATTAGAGCCGGTGATACTCGTTGGGGATCTCACTTCAAGTCATTTGGAAACTTTATTCGTATGTTTGGTTCTACTGTTGTTGTTCTTGATACTTTTGTTGAAGATGCATGTACTTTAGATGATAGAGCTAAGGCATCGGGATATCTCGAAGCTTTTCAAACATATAAGGTTGCTTTCTTGTTGCATTTAATGACAGATATTTTGGGAATCACAAATGAGTTGAATGTATCCTTACAAAAAAATAGCAAGAGTGCAAATGCCATACTACTTGTTCAAGTAGCAAAGAAAAGATTGCAAACTTTAAGGAGGGATGATGAATGGGGTTTGTTTGTTGATAAAGTATCTATATTTTGTATCAAGCATGATATTTTGGTGCCTAATTTTGATGATCTATATGTTAACTCTGGAAGATCACGGCGAAAACCTGCTGACTATACTGCCTTTCATCATTATCGTGTTGATGTGTTTTGTAAAGTTCTTGATTGGCAAGTTCAAGAACTTAATGATCGTTTTAACGAAGTGACGACCGATTTGCTTCATGGAGTTGCTTGTTTGAATCCAATTGACTCATTTTCAAGTTTTGATATCAGAAAAATAATGAAGATGGTTGAATTGTATCCTGATGACTTTGATGAATTTAGGATGAGTGCTCTTGAGAATCAGCTTGCGAGTTACATTATTGATGTTCGTGATTTTGATGAAAAGTTCTCCAATCTAAATGGGCTTTCTGATCTTTCAAAAAGATTAGTTAAGAATTTCATAAATTTGGGTTGAAGTGCATTTCAATGCTATCAATGTCCGTTTGGGATTCCAAGAATAGCTCTGTATGGTGATTCTGGTATTGGGAGCGCGATCGAAAGTGAATTCGGAGGTCCGTAGGTCATTTTGGAGTCATTGGCTAAAGATAGAAATTTGAAGGTTTTGAGAAGTTTGAACGGAAGTGGACTTTTTGATATTGGGTTCGGCTTCCGATTCTGGAAGTTGGAGTAAGTTCGTACTGTCAAATATGGCTTGTGTGAAACATTTGAGGTCAATCAGACGTGATTTGATTGGTTTAGACATCGAAAGTACAAGTTTGAAATTCTAAAGTTCATTAAGCTCGAATTGGAGTGCGATTCGTGATTTCGGCATTGTTTGATGTGATTTGAGGCCTCGAGTAGGTCCGTATTATGTTTTGGGACTAGTTGGTATGATTGGTTGGGGTTCGGAGGACTTGGGTGGTTCCAGATGGTTAACGGATCAAATTTGGAATTTGAAGAAGAATTGAAGCAGCTGTTATCTAGTGTAACAACACCTGCGAGGTTTTGGCCGCTGGTGCGGAGCCGCAAAAGCGGCCTTGGAGTCGCAGACGCGGAAATGGATGGGCTTGGCTGGAGGCGCAGGTGCGACGCAGCTTCCGCAGAAGCGGTCTTGGCTCCGCAGAAGCGGTCGTGGGAGAGTTAGTTGAGACCGCACCTGCGAGGGAAATTTCCGTAGGTGCGGAGCCGCAGAAGCGGCAGGTGGACCGCAGGTGCGAGAAGCAGGTTGGGCAGTGTGTTCTTTTAAAAGCGAGGGTTTGGCTCATTTTCACCATTTTCCCTCCATGGGAGCCGATTTGGAGCAATTTGGGAGTGTCATTTACACCACCAAGCTTGAGGTAAATGGTTTATACTAGTTTTGAGTTAAATACATTGATTATGTATAGATTTTAGCATGAAAATTGGTAGAACTTGGAGTTTGAGGGAAAACCTAGAAAATTGATATTTTCGTATTTTGACCACGATTTTGGGCATGAAATTGAGTGTAAATTATATATTTGAGTTCGTGAGGTTATGGGCAAACTTTATCTTTGAAAAATTATGGAATCAGGGCACGTGGGCCCGAAGGTGTTTTTGTCAACTTTTCAATTGGGGTTAGAAATTATTATAAATTGAATTATTATGAGTAATTGAACATGTATTAATGGGTTTACATAATCATTGGCTAGTTTTGGAATGTTTTGCATCAATTGAGTATTCGGAAGGGCGTGGAATGCCGGTTATGGAACTTCGGGGCGAGGTGAGTCTCCTTTCTAACCTTGTAAGAAGAAATTATCCCCATATGTGAGTTAATTGGTTATGTGCTCTTAATTGTGGGGGTTACATATGCACGANCTACACCATCTTCGTCGCGTCCAAACAACCATCGTCGCAGCTGTTTCTGCGTCATCCATATCGCCGCTGCTGCGTCCTTTTCTCTTCGCCATTGCTGCTGTTTTTTGTCGTCCATTGCTGCTGTTTTTTGTCCTCCATTGCTGCTGCTTTTTGTCCTCCATTGTTGCTGCGTTTCCACTGCTCCATCGACGACGAACAGTTCGTCGACCTTCACCAAACATGCTTGCCGTTGCTGCTGTTTTTTGCCTTCATCTTCTCCATCGAAAATCTCCAGTTGCTTCCTCATCTTCCAAACACGCCACTGCTGCTACTGTTTCTTCTCCTCCAAGCTGTTGTTCATCCGCCATGGTTGTCGCTGCTACTGCTTCAACTTTCTTCTGCTGCTGCTCGCGTTTCATGGCCAGCTACGAACTGCTTCATCTTCTCTTCGTCTTCGTCGTCATTTGTTCGAGCTTTGGTCGAGGCTCAGACAGA